CTTATCCCAGGTTGCTCAGAGCCCCATCCAGCCTGTCAGGGATCCAGGGGCAGACACAGCACTCTGGGCACCCTGTGCCAGGGCCTCACCACCCTCACAGGGAACAATTTCTTCCTGATATTCAATCTAAACCTGCTCTCTGTCAGTGTGAAGCCATTGCCCCTTGTCCTGTCACTCCAGGCCCTTGTCAAGAGTCTCTCTCCATCTTTCCTGTGGGCTCCCTTCAGGCACTGCAAGGCCACAGTGAGGTCACCCCAAAGCCTTCTCCTCTCCAGGCTGCACAGTCCCAATTCCCTCAGCCTTTCCTCCCAGCAGAGCTGCTCCATCCCTCTGCTCCCCTTGGTGTCCCTGCTCTGGCCTGGCTCTAGCAGCTCCCTGTCCTTGCTGTGCTGGGCCCAGGGCTGGATGCAGCCCTGCAGGGGGGCTCAGCAGAGAGGGACAGAGGGGCAGAATCCCCCCTGCCCTGCTGCCCACACTGGGGGCTCAGCCCAGCACAGGGGGGGTTCTGGATCCCTGCACTGGCACTGGCACTGCCCCTTGCTCTGAACCTGCTCTCAGCTGAAGCCACAGAGTTCATGGACCTGAGCTTTGTGTACCTGCAGCTGAGCTTACCCTGTACATGTGAAATATCAGAAAGCCTTCTTTTTCCTTTCTTTTTCCCTTTCCCTTCATAGTACCTAATCCTTCAGATGATTTCTGCAGCTATTTGTGTTGAAAAGACTTAGCTCCAGCAGGTGGGATACTTTCTTCAATGCACAGGACTAATATGTCTTGTGTCAAGACCCTAAAGAAGATGCCAATCCCTCTTAGACTCTCAGCAAAGCATGGGCTGTTCTGGTGACCCTTTTGAGATATTTGCCTGTTTGATCCCCTTTGAGTTGCTATCCAGAGTTTCAACCAGAGCTTAATGAATCATGAAGCTGTTACAGGGGCTGTTGCAGGAGATGGGTAGATGGGATTCTTCCTGATACATCTTCCCCTAGCTTTGAAGTTGGTCCTGCACTCATCTAAGAGGTTGGATTCAAGCCTTCCAACAGTCCTTTCCCTTCTCAATGTCTCCATGAAAACAGAGATATTATTAAGTTTCAAATTACCTGCGAGGAAGCAGAAAATGAGGTAAACTTAGCAAAATGTTTCCTATTCTTCATAGGGGTGTGAGGCTTATCCAGCAGCTCTTGTCCCCAAAATTCCTGGGAGATTTTTTATCCCCCAAACTGAGAGCATAGAGTGGGAAGGGAGCATGGGAAATGCCCATGCCTCCCAGGACACCTGGGCACTTCCCAGGCAAGAAATCTGAATTACACAAAGATCTACAAAAATTTGAAGTGTACCAATGCATACTCTGGTCTTAGAAGTGAATAAAAACTAGATTTGGAGGAAGAGTTAACACAGCATTTCTGAATCAAGGAAAAACCAAGGGTTAAGAGGGATTTAGAGTCAAAACACTACCAAAAATGTATAAAATTTTATTTTATGAATACATTAAACTATTGTGCGCAGCACATACATATAAAAATAGAAGCAATTTCACAAACAATTGATTGGACAGTTTTATGTTTCTTGCAAATTTACAGTCTCAATTGTGAGTCCATATTGAGTCAGAACATGAGGTATATTTTAGTGAAAAAAAAGCAATCTGAGAACTTTGGCACCATTTTACTGTGCAAAATAAAATCTTGGAATTGAAATAGTGAGGTATACAAATATTACTCTGCTTTTCCACTGTGTGTATGTCTGTGTCTCTGCATGTCTGGGAAAAATACATTTATTTAAGAACATGATACAGTTCCAGCCAAATCTGCTTTCTAACAGGGTGAATTAAGTCTTAGAATGTTATGGGGTTTGCCTGACGAAGGAGAAACTGTAAATATAGGCATTAACTCCACAGGAGAATCCCATGTGCAAAATGTGGGCATGCCAGGCTGGTGTGGAGCATTCACAGCAATGCTTTCAAAGCTCAGTCCATGGCATGACCCCTGTTAATGCACACTTGAGATATGTTTTGAAGTTCCTAATTTGGCCCTGATTTGGGAAATTCCTTTAGTTTCATGAGTTGTCTTTATATAGTCACATACCCTTCTTTGATTTCAGCTCTGATTTCCATGTTGATCTGGCTGGCATAGGGGTGTAATAAGGATAAAAACAGTGATGTAAAGAGTAACTCAGCAGAGTGACTGATGGGGCTCTCCAAATGCCCACCAAAATTGCATCCAAAAGAGTCTGCAGTTCCTAAGAACAGTCTCAGGCTGTGAATAACAGATTTATAGATACACAGAATGACTGAGGTTGGAAAACACCTCCAAGATCATCAAGTCCAACCTTTGACAAATCCCCACCTTGTCAACCAGACCAGAGCCACATCCAGTCATATCCTGGACACTTCCAGGGATGGTGACTCCACCTCTTCTCTGGGCAGCCTGTTCCAATGCCTGACCACCCCTTCAGTGAAGAAATTCTTCCTGATGTCCAACCTGAACCCCCCCTGGCACAGCTTGAGGCCGTTTCCCTCTTGTCCTGACTCCTTGCGACCTGGTCTATGGGTTGTCCTCGCTTGACCAGTGTGTGCAAAATGGAGCCAGTGAGTCTGCTTCCCACCTTTTGTGCCAGCTCTCCCAATGCTTACCAGTCCTGGCAACAATCATTTTCTCTGGGCTGCCCTGGTTTAAGAGGGAACAGACTTCATCCTATCATAAGGATGCTGGATTAAGCTGTGATCAGAAACAAATTTGTGTGCCAGCATTAGAACTCTGTTTCCTTCTACATCCCTGGACTCTTCCATACTTCTTCAAACTTCATTTCAAAGACAATTAGGAATATAACCCCAGGATACAGGTTGCCAGCTAATGTTGCACAGCTCTCTGTACCTCTAGGGACTCTGATATCCTCCAAACTTTTCTTTGACCCACTCTCTCCCCACTCAAAACATCCTGATTTTTCACTTCAAATGCGCATTTCTCCAAAGCGAACTGCGGCACACGTTGTGGGTGAACAAAGTGTGTCATCTTGGCTTCTTTCTGAAATACTGCAAGACCAGAAAATAAAGAGCAATTCCTTTCAACTCCTTTCCTTCCAAAGCATCCTCCAAAGTATCCCATTCCTGTACTGTGAGCAGGATTCCACTCTTTTTTTCTCTTCATTTACATTGTAATCATCACTTACATTTTAATCAGATAAATCCAAGTATAAGTCACATTAGAGATGCTGGAAAACTGTATCTTGTTCACAAAACAATTGCATTGACAGTTTCTTGGGAATGGTGGTGGTGGGTACATCCTTGTGAGTATGTCCTTTGGGCCAAATCTTCTGTAGCTATAAACTGATAGTTTTCCTGGGCTGATTTACTCCAGCTGAGGATCTGGCCCTGACAGTGTCTCTCATGCATGTCAGAAGGCTCAAATTCATCACGAATAGACAGCCCCTGCAAATAGAATGGCATGTCAAGGCTGGACATAGCCCCCTTTTGGCTGGACGTGGGAGATAATCTTGCACTCAGATATTCACTTCTGCAGCAGCATGGTCCATCTATGCTGAAAATGCTCATGCTCTGACATTACATTGAGTCTAGTTTCAAATTTAGGAGCATGCCACCAATGCAGGAATCCCAAGGCTTCTGGTAACTGACATTTATAGCGACTATTGACTTAGGGCCTCTTAAAATGCTCTTTCAAAGGCACAGAGAATGCAGCTTCACTGGTGATCTGGAAAAGGGTTGTCAAAATAGCAAGGCAAGGTTATGTGTCATTTGTACAGCTTCTAGGAGAGCTTTGAAGGGTGCTTCATGCAGCTTGCTGTGTTGTCTTTGAAACAGATGCTTTGCAAGTGACAGAAATTGGAATTATGGCACGAGTTCCTCTGTCCCAACATGGGAAGGTATGCTTGTGTAGCCTCCTTTCTCTGTCCTTCATACCTCAGGGAGGTATGATAGAGAAGAACCAAGTATACTTAAGACAGTGAAAATTCAACAGAATTTTCTAAAATAATCCTTTGCTGGAAGCTTCCATGAATTTCTTATCTTTTAAAAAATGCATCCCACACACCAGTTCTAGTTCTTAGAGATCAACAACATTCAGGCTAAATGAGATTCAGTGCCTTTAAATATTTCTTTTCTTTTATATAGAGGCACATGGGCATCAGGAGACTGGCATGACTGATTCATTAAAAGTATGTCCTTACATAGATGCACACTCATCCATCCCATGTCTATATTTATACAAATATTAATATTAAAGATATACACATCTATACTGGAGGTAAGTCTAAACTAAGCTCACAAAATGCCATTCAGAATCCTCAGCTCCAAATCAGTTTTGCATTTGGGAGTCATGTATGATTTATCCTGTGGCCCTTCCCATGGAAATTGATTGTAGATCTTCATTTTGCCAGCCAGTCCATGTGAAGAGACCCTGGGGAATCCCTTCAGAGGCAGAGGGGCTCTGGGAACAGACAGTTTTCTTGTGTAGAAACACTTATGGAATTGGCACCTTAGTGGTCAAAACAGGTTGAGGACTTTAGAGGACAGGACACAGTCTGTAGAGGGGGATGCAGGCAGATATTCAGATGGAGTGAACTGCCTGAAGCTCTGGTGAAGCAAAATCATCTGGTGATTTGGCCCATGATATGTAAACAGTTCAGTACAAGAGATTATTATCTGAGGTAAATAATATCTAGTAAATCACCTATGATTGATTAGATGGGTGTCCACAGCCATTCTGCATCTTCCAAAAACTTCCTTTGCACTCCAGCTTGCATTTTTCTCTGTACAGCACCAAAGGAGGCACACAGCCATGTAAAATTTGTACAGAGTAGGAGAGAAGCAGCATTGTATTACATATGCTATGTGATGAATCTAATACAAATATTTTTATCCAAATATACACATACATATAGAGATATCTTTTTTTTTTGCAATGACCAGTATAAATACTTTACCTGGGAGGTTATTCCCCATGTGCAAAATGAAACAGTATGTTCTGGGATTTAATCTTCTGTTTTGCTGGTGCTCATATTCTTGGTAGGAAGTGGGTCACTGTCATGGCAGGAGAAACCTTGTTCCCTCTCTTCACCCTGCCGTGTTTGCTCAGGGCTATGTAAGCGCCGCGGTGAACCTTGGATTCGTATGCGTTGTAGTTATTGGGCAGCAAGGTTTCCTTGAACTTGCACTCATCTTGGAAAACAGCCTAAGGAATAACAAGGGGAGGGGTAGGGATTCAAATCAGGTACAATCAATTTTCCACCAAGGCCCAGGTCATTTTTCTCCCTCGCGTTTTTACACCAGGGCTCATTGCAGCGTGCAACAGGTGGTGCCGCAGCCACTGCGGCCAACAATAAATCTCCCTCCTCGGTGCTAATTTGGTGTCAGATGAACTCAGATGCCACCTGTCCAGATAATGGACTGTGTATTTCCTGTGGCAGATCGAGTTAATTCATTATAAATCATGGATTTCTTCATTTTATTTGCAAGTAATAATTTCTGTCAGCATGACACCCTCTTGCCCAAACAACAGCTTTATTTAAGACCTCCCCTTTGCCAGAAGTTCCATCATTTATAAAAAATTATATGCTGGCTGTTGAAACCTTCAGAGCTTTTCCAAACAGCAGTGTCCAGGGACAACTGCTTGCTTTAATAAGAGATTTGATTTGCAAGAACTACTTTCTTTCTTAAACCATTAGTAATATTTAACTATGCAGCTGGTTCTAATCTGGGAAAACAGTTTTAATATCCTCCATGTCAAAACATGAAAATCTAAGGAGGGAGTTATCTGGGAGAGGAGGTGCAAGAGGACAAGCAGGAGATAAATGCAGAGGAAATTAAAAGAGAAAGCAGAATAATTCTCTGACTTCAAATGTCTGGCACATGAGATGCCAACCAATGCAGTTCTATCTGGGCATCTGTGTGATAACACCATCCAAAGCCTGTAAGAGTTTGACTTAAGGCATTGTGCTGTGCAGGGAAAATGCACATCTCTTACAGTTTTTGAAAGTGTATTTGAAAATAAACAAAACTGTATTGAAAGTGGAGGGGGAAAAAATCAAAGGGATTTCTGAAGCTGGACCCTGTGCTTTTGTAGAAAGATCCAGCTAAGGTAAAGCAGTTGGACTTGTGGCACTTTTCGGGTGCTTGTGATCACTTGTGATTGAAGGAATATTCCTGAAGTGGGACCTTAAGGTGTCCTACTGTCGTTATGAGTGTGAGAAGGAATCAGGTTAGTGATGGTCACAGGTCCCTCACAGCATTTGGCATGATTTTAAACCACTGCAATGCTTTGTTGAAATTACAGCTCTCCCAAAGGAAAGGACTCTGCTGTTCCTTGACAAAAGAGATTGCTACAATGAATGGCATCATTACTTTGAGATGAGCTGATTTTGCCTAGTGCCCAGGACCAGCCTCTTTCAAATGCACCTCCTAAAAATCACTTTTTCTGCTGGATATTGACACTGGAGATGTGTTGCTCACATCTCAGAGGTTAAACTGCATTTAGATAGCAAATCATCTAGATGAGGAGGATGGTGTTTCAGTACGATTTGCATACCATTGTTAATAGTTATTATTATTTTCTCACCCTTTGCAACTGATCTCACAAAACTGATCATTAAAATAACCCCAGCCACACATGTTGGCCTTGTAGGGTAGACTTCCTATTTATTCTTGATGGTGTGGCTGTTTTTGGTAGGAAGGAGCATGTGGTCATTACTTTACTAAGGGTAGCTGTTGGAAATAGCTATAATTGTGCCTCTCCTACACACAATGCAATGCAGGATAGAATCAATGGGGCTCCGCTTTGCTACCATGTGTTTGCAGCTCTGTGACCTTGGAAGAAGCCATCTAATTAATCTGTACTATTTGCAGAATACGTTCATTTTCCTAAGGTGTCCCCTGTACAGTCTTAAAGCTTTAAAATCCCAGCCCTGTAACAGCCATGCTGCTTGTTGCATTAAATAGCACTGATGACAGCAGGCTGGGCAGGCTCCCTCTAACAGGAGGGCTAGTTTCTCTGCTTGTAATCAGAGATTTCCATAAGGAAAAGATTGAAACAAACAAAACCAAAACAAACTAAACCCAAACAAACAAAGCAAAACACTAAACTGAACCAAACCACTTCAAAACCTTTTTGTATAAACTGTGAAAAGCTACTTGCACTTGTACTTACCGTCCCATACAACCTGCCTTTGCTGTTCATTGCAATGAAGAGAGCACTTTTCACACCAAGCAGACTTACAACACCTCTTTCTACAGTGGATATTTCAAAGAGACCTGAAAAACATGAAGTTTAATTGGAGTGTTATCACAGAATCTAGAACTAATGGAAGGCAATTCAGATATATACTTTTTTAAACCCTAACAAACTTGTAATATATTCTTTATAAGAATTGACTCCCTAATGCAGCAAAATAAATATGCACAGAGATCTTGTGTTTTTCTAAATGTCACAGGATTTGAAAATAATTATTCTAGAACTGTGGTTACATTCTGTATAAGCCTTTTGCTCTATCAAACTCTTTTGATCTGTCAACCTCTGGACCTTTTCAATAAGAAAATAATTTTAATGTAATATGCTATACTTACAAAAGGTTTTTTGCTGAGCCTTAAAGAAGTGTGGCTTGCATTTTGAAGTCTCACATGATATTGCTGCAAAAGATTTCACCAACTGCCCTCTACAGGAAATTCAAATCCACATGACTAATGCTTTCCTTAATTCTTAGGGTAACAGAACAGCACCCACAAGAATGAACAAACCAGGACCAAACCCCTTCCATGGGACACATTGAGTGTCCCAAAAATACTGGTCAGCTGGGATTCAAGAATCATGCTTTGGCACTCTGGACTCAGCAAAAACCTCCCAGATTCAAAAGGCAAATGAGAAGGTGAGGAGCAAGAAAATGCAGCAGAGGGTCAGTTTTTGACCTGGTTTGTCTTTTCTCATCTGTGCAGCAAAGCAGGTAAAAATAAATTCTATCTAAATTCGTCTAAGCATTTTGTGCCACGTTTCAGCCCAAAGGGTTTTCATGTTTATTGATCCCAGGGACTTTAAAAGGCAACAGATGTAGCACAGATTAATAATATCAACTCACAACATTTGCACTCTGTGAAGGGTAATTACTAGAGTTCACAGCAATTAAGTGACATCTATTCTATTTCATTTCTGGATGCAACTCACTGTATTGGTTTTCATTGTGAACTCCGCTTATCCTTCCGTCTGGGAGGATTTGAAGGTGAAACCCGATGCCCACGTTGCAGTAAAGCCTTCGCTGCCTCTTGATTCCTAGCAAATAGTCACTCTCCCAGTTCACATCTGCCTTCTCCCCTGACATCCCAGCCATGGACCTGGACAGCAGAGATTGCCATCCTCTCTCCAGCAATGTGCCATTAGTTCTGCTTACAGCTGGGTGTGTGGCGGCAATCCCGGCCAGCAGGCCCAGGAGAAGGAAGGCGGGCAGCGTCCGGTGAGCGCCGGCGTCGCAGGACATAGTGATGAGAGGTCTTTGTGCCGTGGCCATCCCGTTCACCTCCTGGGCACGTGGTCAGAATTAATGGCCCTAAAAATACCGCCCTTCTTGTTTTTCTCCCTTCAGCATGGTGGCAGAGGCTTATTTTTGGAAAGCAAATAGAGCTTGCTGACCTGAAACTAAAGCCTGACAGCAGTTGGGTTGGGAGCAGAGACAGGCCAGCAGGACTGCAACTGGTGGGGACCATGGTTTGTAGATCCTGCTTCCCGCTGGGCAGCCTCCGTTATATTTGATTGAGCCATCTTTATAGTGCAGGGGCTGTCCCTGCCCACATCATCACTCTGACATCAACAGCCTGCCCAAGGTGAGGCTGCCAGGGCTGTAACACAAACCTGCGTCCTCCCTGCCTGCTGAGCTTGGAGTGCTGTCAGCCAAGACTGGATGCAGGAGTGGGATTTCATTGGCTGTGGGAAGCAAAGGAGTCAAATTGGTCAGGGAATCAGAGGCCTCACAGGCAGCTTCCTTATTTAGAGAGGAAGGTGTAAAAACAGTTCTGGACCTCATCAGTGAGCAATGAGAGGTTTGCAGCCACTTCCTTGGTGGCACGATCGGCGGGTGCTTGTCGGGGCACCTCAATACTTGGGGACAATCGGCTTGAGGTGGCCACAGCTCTTTTTGTGCCCCCCCTGCAAAGCCAAGGCGCCTCTTAGTGAGCGACCCAAGTGCTAACCTCTGTCTGTGCCTCTGCAGGGAGTGCTCCTGGCTGGCTAAAGGAGAGGTAAGCCATGCAGCAGGGACAGAAGCCTCTGCAGGGAGTGCTCCTGGCTGGCTAAAGGAGAGGTAAGCCATGCAGCAGGGACAGAAGCCCCAGCTCCTGCAGGTTTTATCCCAGTGGGAATTCTGCTGAGCAGGAAACATAGGCTGGAGCATTGATCTTGCAGTGACACATAGATGGGAACATTAGGTCTTCCTGTTTTTCACTGAGGTGACTTCCAGATGATCACATTTACTTCCAGGTCATCACATTTACCTGGGGAGGGTGTGTTCCTCCTGCAGGGGGGCAATAGTATTTGCAGGAGAAAGACAAGGATTTAGGTGGTGTGTTAAAGATGAGGAAAAAGTGAGATGGCCACAGTTTACCAGTGTTTCACTGTCTCCTTTCCTCAAGCTCAAATACTCACCATTTTTATAATTAATGACCATCTTAATTTGCCTCTCCTGCTCAGACTGTGTTGTTTCCCCTCATTTTCCACTGTAGCTGTCTCAGCTCCTTTGGAGTTGGACAGATCGGACTTTTATCTTAATTAGTTTCACAGAAGTTATCAAGACATAAGACAGAGGGAAATGGTTTATACAGAGATTTATACAAATACTTTTGTCAATATGTCTGTCAGCTTCTCATAGCACAGGCCTTGCATCTTCTGTGTCATTTGAGAAGCCTGCTAATGAGGGGAGTACCAGGAAGCCTAATTAAACTGAGCACTCCCAGTGTGACAGTTCCACATTCAGCAGCAGAGGTGTAATACAAGGCCTGGGACACTGCAGACTCCCCAGCAGGAGCCCTGTGAGGTGAAGGGGAGGCCCTGGCAGCCTTGAGGCAGGAGATCAGTCAGTGATGTATGTGAATATTGTCAGTGATGTATTTGAATATTGATTGCTCTCAGGAGACAGGCTCAGCTATAAAATAATTGGGAACCATAAGGCTAGGCCCTGGCTTGTGCCAGGTGACATTTCAAGGTCTCTGTGCCTTTGCTGAAGCTGAACTTGACTATCACAGAATCACAGAATAACCTGAGCTAGAATGGACCCACTAGGATCGTGCAAGTCCAATGCCTGGCTCTGCACAGGACACCCCAGCAATCCCACCCTGTGCCTGAGAGCCTTGTCCAAACACTCCCTGAACTCTGGCAGGCTTGGGGCAGTGGCCAAAGGAAGGATATCTTTTGCTGACAAAGAATATCTTCAGATCCTTTTCTCTCCTGCTTTCTACTTTATCTGATGATTTTTTCATCTATATAAAGTGCATATATCATTTTTAGGAAGAAATAATACTAGTATTTTACACCCTCTTATCATAGCTGCAGTCTTCATGAGAGGCCAGCATCACTGGGAAACAAAGCCAAGGGTCCCTGTTCCAAGCATGGGGCACTGATTTTCCAGTTTTTCTTATGCTGCAGTCTGAAACCTGCCCATTCCCAATGCATGTGACTCCTGCCAACACTGTCTGGTCTCAGAGCCATCACTGCCTGTAAAAACATGCATTGTAATATTTTCTTTCCTGTTTATTTCCTCCCCTAGAGAACTTTTCAAGTGTAATGGGTGCAGAGCTGGATTTCCATCCTCAGCTTTAATCACCTTTGCATCTTTATGTCTCATTCATCAGAGCAAAGATAAACCATGGGCTAATTGAACTCCTGTAACTTTTACTGGCACATCTGTCCCTGTGGATTCCCCCTAAGGTGTCCTGATGGCCCAAGTTAAAGGAACACTTTGTAGGATGCACCATGTCTCATCCCAGTACCCTTGATCCTAGAAGTAAAAACAAATAGTCAGACACAAAACAAACAAAGATAATTTCTGACTTGTCTATGGGATGCATTGGTTTGTATTTTAGTCAGTCCAGCTGGAAAGTGGCTGCTGAGGGCTGTGGTGACCCAGGAGACAGCCTTGATCCAGCAGTTTCCTGCTGAGCAATCTGACAGCATTCTGTATGGAAAGGGTGCACAGATTACTTGCTTGCAAAAATTCCAGACTTTTCTTTCCTGTAAACCAAACCAAAGAGCTAAAATTTGTGATTTCACTGGGACACCTGGTTCTCTTAAGACCCAGAGCCCTGGTGTCTGGCCCCAAGTGTGTGCAGCTGGGAGATGAAGTGCATTCTGCAGTCTTGTACTGCTCAGCAATTCTGCATCAGAGTTGAAATGAGTCTTGAACCATTCTCCAGCTGGATCTGTGGCCAGCAGGTTGCCAAGTTTCTGTGTATTAGCATTTGAACTGCCATATAAAGTCTTGAGCTTCTGATTCAATCAGGCAAGCCTTGTTTGCTCTAAAAAATGTCTCATTCTGCTTAAATTTGTCCTCTTGGCCCATGAAGTGACTGTTTCCAGAAAACAGACTGTAACCTTCTGACTTTCAGGTAGCATGTTGTCCTGGCTTCATGTGCCCAGTGAAATTTGGAAGGGAGACACCAATAGCATTTGCAGTAAAATAAACCCTGTGAACTCCAAAAACTAGTAAAAATTTACTTCAGCAATCAAACTCTGCTTACTTGAACTCTTAAGACCTGGGGTGACAGTGCTCACTGCCTAACTAAACGAAAAAGTTTTCATTGTCAGTATTTCAGCACAACATTAAAATAACCCCTCTTTGGAGCACAGCAGTTCAGATCCACTTTCAGATAGTCTAAGAAAAGTCCTGCAGCTGAGCAGTAACACGATACGGATGCAAAACACATCTTTCAAAAAATGTGTGATGACTTAGGGTCCTAAGTTCCATTTTCAAATCTGTTAAAATTCTCTCCCTATTTTAAGGCCTGGAAAGAGCAATCCCTCATTCAAGCACAGAAGGATGGACTAAAATTGCTCACCTTGCCTGTGAAGATCCAAGCTGATGGTGGACAGTGGAGAAGGGAGATTTCCAGGTGACAAATCTGCCTGTTGTGGCAGGGCAGGTGTTGCAGACTCTGGACAAGTTGCATAAAAGTCTGTAAGCCCAAGTATGACCATGGAGCCCCATCTCATCACCTTTAGGTTAATGGGGTTTGCTGACCAGCGTGGAGAGATTTGTAACGCACATACCAGGACTGTTATGAATTACATATTAATCACAATCTGAAAACAGCATAAAAAAATAACAAAGCAAGGGTTGCAGAGCTGTATTGACACCCAAGGACTCCACTCAACTGTAGAACTGGTAACACTGAATTGAGTGTTATTCCCTTGATGCCAACAACATCAGGGAACACTGATGTTGTTGGCTTCAAGGCTGATTTGGATAGAACCACAGAAGAGATGATTAATCAGCAGAAGAACTGAGCTCTGGTAGCAGGAGGATAACAGAAAGGGCTCTAGCACACTGTATTTGTTATTTCTCTTCCCACTACCCAACAGAGAGGCAGCTTTGCTGTCACACTGATCCCCAAAATGAATAAGCCGGATAACAGACAGCAACCTTGCCTAAGAGCCTTGGCAGCTGATGAGCTCTTGGAGGCTGAAGTGAGCAAACTTCTGACCCAAAACTGTTCCCTCATTGCAGCTGCTGACTCCCAAAGCATGTAAAAGACTTTTTCAAACATGGTTTGTCATCACCAGTCACAAGGAAGCCAAGATATTAACAGGGAACCTCCACTTTGTCACACACACAGAGGTCCTGGTGAGGACACTCAGACACACCTGGGTAGGACAGTGTGCAAATTTAACAACTTAGAGTCATCTCAAATAATTATCTTCCCATTTCTCTGCAGGGAAATCTCTCACTGAAATTTCACATGCCAATTTCTTACAGGCAAGCCCAAATCAAAACCAGCTTCCTTCTGTTTTCTTTTTGGAGGGAAATGGGAAAAATTATCTACTCCCACAAGAAACTCTGGAGGATTTAGGACTAGGTGGATGCTAGCTTGCTTGGAAAAAGATCTTGGTTTATTCATGCTGAGCTCATTCTCTGCAGAGGGTATGTCAAGCACAGAGACAGTCAGATATGCCCATCTTTGTTCTCCTGAGCTGGCCAGGTGTCCCTCTCCATGTCCCACAGAAATGGGAATGGCTGTCAGAAAAGAGAGCAGTGACTCCATGGCAGACCTGTGGCTTCCCACCTGGTGCTGTGCCCACCAGCCCACACTGCTTCTCTCATCACCTCTCAGCTGTTCCCCCTCCACAAGGACAGGCAGTCCAAGGGTAAAAGGCCGAGCTGAAGAAAACAGAAGTGACAGCCACCACCCCCACAGGGATCAGCCTGGAGTTATTTATTAGAAGAGATGAATGACAAGGGCCATGTTTAATTTGGTTTGTTTGTTTCGTGCACAGTTTGCTCATTACAGCAGGGACATTGCAGGA